TCAATCCCAGGACCCTGGGATCATGACCTGAGCCGAAGGCAGATGCTTAATGACTGAGCCACCCAGGCGCCCCAGCTCTGATTATTTTCTACCCTATTTTATTTCATTAAAAATGCTGGTACCGGGGCGCCTGGGTGGCTCAGTCAGTTAAACATCTGCCTTCGGCTCAGGTCATGATCCCAGAGTCCTGGGATCGAGTCCCATATTGGACTTTTTGCTCAGCGGGGAGCCTGCTTCTCCCTCTGCCTGCTGTTTCCCCTGCTTGTGTTCTCTCTCTCTGACAAATAAATATATTTTTAAAAAATTTTTAAAAAATAAATAAAATATGCTGGTACCAGGGGCGCCTGGGTAGCTCAATCAATTAAGCATCCTACTCTTGATTTTGGGTTGGGTCATGATCTCAGGGTCGTGAGACTGAGCCCTGCATCAGGCAGCATGGAGCCTGCTTGGGATTCTCTCATTCCCTCTCCCTCTGCCTCTTTCCTCATTTGCACATGCACACGTGCACTCTCTCTCTCTCTCTCAAAAAAAAAAAACAAACGCTGGTACAATGCCCTAAATGTGTGTCATGACCCACTAATCAGAGATGACCACAACTTGAGAAAGGCCAAAAATGTATACACAGCAGTCATCGAGTCAATTTACGGCTCATTTACAAAACATATTTTGACCAGAGGCAAAAGACCAGAAAAATGCCATCCAGTTCAAGAGCTCCAAAGCTCCACACATCCAAGGATACAATAAACACTGCAGGGGGCTGAAGTCCACAGGGCGCCTGTGCTCACCTACAGAGAGCAGGTTCCTGAAGTTCTCCAGCATCACGTCTCCATACAGCTTCCTCTGGGCAGGGTCCAGCAGCCCCAGCTCCTCCTCCGTGAAGACCACCGCCACGTCCTTGAACGTCACAGCCTCCTACAACACCAAGCACACACAACCTCAATCTTGAGCCCAATGGCTGCTGGGAGAAAGAGCACTGAGAAAACTGGAAGGGATGTGTATGAAGTAGCTTCAGATTCTAAGAGACCAAAGTCAATTTTTAAGATTTTTTATTTATTTGAGAGAAAAAGAATGAGAGAGAGAGAGAGAGCATGAGAGGGGGAAGGGTCAGAGGGAGAAGCAGACTTCCCGCTGAGCAGGGAGCCCGATGTGGGAATCGAACCCGGGACTCCAGGATCATGACCTGAGCCGAAGGCCGTCGCTCAACCAACTGAGCCACCCAGGCACCCAAGAACAACTTTTAAATAAATATTAGCCTCCTGTCTTAATTATTTTCTTAGAATAAGTTCTAAGAAGGAAAAATTGCAATATCGAGGATATGCCACTTCAAAATTACTATGTAGGATGGCAGGTTTCCTTTTCAACTTTTTCTGTATTTCACCCCTCCCCTGAGAGAATATAAGTAGCCCTGATTCTCCACACCACACACAACACTGAATATAACCAATGTTTTTAAGTCCTATGTAATCTGATCAGTAAAAAACAACTTACTTTTCATTTTATACTTATTTGGTAATTAAACTATCACATTTTCATATATTTACTGGCTATCTTTATTTCTTCTTTAGTACCTTGCCAGTCAATGTTCTTTGCTCATATTCCAATTGGGTTTTATTTTATCACTCTGTAAAATTTCTATTAGAGACTTCAAGCTTTCTTTTTAAAACATACATAAGTATCATCACCCACATTTTGCTATTGTTCTTGTATAGCTTTGTGTATGGCATGGTTTCTCAACCCTGACACCACTCACATTTTGGGCCAGATAACTGTTTGGTGGGGGGGAGGCTGTCCCCTGCAATGTAGGATGTTTAGCAGCAGCCCTGGCTTCTATGCACCAGATGCTGAAGCCTCCCTCAAGTTTTGACACCAGAAATGTTTCCAGACATTGCCTGGGCGCAAAAATTACCCGTGATTAAGAATCGCTGGTGTAGGGCGCCTGGGTGGCTCAGTTGGTTAAGCGACTGCCTTCGGCTCAGGTCATGATCCTGGAGTCCCGGGATCGAGTCCCATATCGGGCTCCTTGCTCAGCAGGGGGTCTGCTTCTCCCTCTGATCCTCCCCCCTCTCATGTGCTCTCTCTCTCTCTCATTCTCTCTCTCAAATAAATAAAT